GTAATGACAATTGTATCTGATTTTAATAAAAAGAACACATCTTCTGCTTATATGCTTAAGTCCTTTAATATATGGCATGGTAGATTATGACATGTTAATTTTGATACTTTGCGTAAATTAATGAATTTAGAATTGTTGCCTAAATTCAATATTGATGCAAATCATAAATGTGAGGCATGTGTTGAATCAAAATTAACTAGAGCATTATTTCATAATATTGAAAGAAGTACTAAGCCTCTAGAATTAATTCATAGTGATACATGTGATTTGAAATATGTTCGAACTAGAGGTGGAAAGAAATACTTTGTTACATTTATTGATGATTGCACAAGATATTGCTATGTATATTTGCTAAGGAATAAAGATGAAGCATTGAAAAAATTTATGCACTATAAGAATGAGGTTGAGAATTAACTTGGCAAAAGATTAAGACAATAAGAAGTGATCGAGGTGGTGAATATGATGCACCTTTTGATCGATTTTATCAAGAACATGGTATAATTCACCAAACTTCTGTGCCTTATACACCTCAGCAAAATGGAATTGCTAAGCTTAAAAATAGAACTTTAAAAGAGATGATGAATGCCATGTTGATAAGTTCGGGATTACCTCAGAACTTGTGAATGAAAGCTTTGCTTTCATCAAATTATATTTTAAATAGACTACCCCACAAAAAGTTAGACAAAAACTCCTTATAAATTATGAAAAGGAAGGAGGCCTTCCTATAAATATTTAAAAGTGTGGGGGTATTTGGCTAAGGTGATGGTTCCTATTCCTAAAAGGATTAAAATATGACTTAAAACTATTGATTGTATATTTATTGGTTATGCAATAAATAACAGTGCATATCGTTTTTTTGTGCATAAATTTGATATTCTTGATATACATATCAATACAATCATTGAATCAAGAAATGCATCATTCTTTGAAAATGTATTTTCTAATAAAAATGCATGTAATGAGAGTTCTCTTAAACGAACTCTTGATACTGCAACTAATAATATGGACAATGAGTCTATAAATGATGAAAATAAAGACGCACTTAGACGCAGTAAAAGGGCAAGGACTTCCAAGTTTTATGGTCCTGATTTTTTAAGACGCAGTAAAAGGGCAAGGACTTCCAAGTCTTATGGTCATGATTTTTTAACATATTTGTTAGAAAATGAGCCTCAAAGCTTCAATGAAGCAATGTCCACTCTTGAAGCACCTATGTGGAAAGAAGCTGTAAACAGTGAAATTGAATCCATCATGCAAAATCACACCTAGGAGTTGGTAGATCTTCCTCCAGGGAGTAAGCCATTGGGATGTAAATAGATTTTCAAGAGGAAAATGAAAACTGAAGGATCAATTGATAAGTACAAGGCTAGACTTGTAGCTAAAGGTTACAAACAAAAAGAAGGTCTTGATTACTTTGATACATATTCTCCCGTTGCAAGAATAACATATATTCGTATGCTCATAGTTATTTGCAACATTGCATAATCTTGAGATACACCAAATAGATGTGAAAACAGATTTCCTAAATGGTGACTTAAATAAGGAAATTTATATGGATCAACCCGAAGGGTTTGTTTCTCCGAGACAAGAGAAGAATGTGTGTAGACTAGTTAAATTATTTTATGGTTTAAAGCAAACACCAAAAGAATGGCATGAGAAATTTGTTAAGGTTATGATGTCAAATGGTTTCACAATTAATGAATGTGATAAATGTGTCTATGTCAAAGACACAAATAATAGATATGTCATTGTTTGTCAATATGTGGATGAAATGCTCATTTTAGGTAGTAATAATAATATTATTACAACTACCAAGAAAATGTTGTCCAGTAAGTTTGACATGAAAGATTTGAGTGTTACAGATATTATACTAGGAATTAAAATTTCTAGAACATCTGATGGACATAAATTATCTCAATCTCATTATATTAAGAAAATACTTGAGAAGTTCGATAAAAATGAAAGTAGTATTGCCAGAACACCAGTGGATATAAATCTTCATTTGTCTAAAAATACTGGTCAAAGCATATCATAATTGGAATACTCTTGTATCATTGGTAGTCTAATGTATGTCATCAACTACACTAGATCGGATATAACATACTCAGTTAATAAATTGAGTAGATATACAAATAAAAAATTATTTTGGTGCATTGGATACCTAGTCGTAATTATATATATAAAAGGGTAAAAATAATTTAAGAAGTAATGTGTCTCTGATAAAAGTTTTGCCCTGAAGAGACCTATTTGGACTATTTTACATGTATTTTAAATATATTTAGGCTTATGTATAAATATATTTAGGTTTAAAGGTTCTTTTGGGGAGAAGGTTTGTGGAGGCATCTATTTAGTGAACAAAAAAAAATTAATATTTGATGGTGTAGGGTTTATAATGTTGGTGGATATTTAAATATATATATATATATTTGTGTGCGTGTGTGTGTGTCTCATGATACCTTGTTGATTATTGCAGTAATTATGTTAAATTTTAAGTTTATAGTTATTTGGAATTGATTGAATTGAATCAATGTGTTGTAAAGAAAAAAAAAAGAAAAGAAAAAAAGAAAGGAATTTTACTTTTAAATTGCATAATCTCGAAGATTTCGTAGGTTGAAAAAGACTAAAGCCTAGAAATAACATAATTCGCTCCTTTAGTTTCAAAGAGCTTTATTTTGACCATTATATTATTTTAAATTTAATTTTAACCACTTTTTTATTTAGTAAGTTGGAGGAATAGAATTTTGGAAAATTTATGGCAGCCCAAAAACAGAAAATTCTTTTTTTAAGAAAATTATACTTTGACCCTAAAAGTTTTAAAAATTATGATTTGACCCCAAAACTAATTTTTTTTTTTTCTAAATTGTCAAACTACTTTCATATCATATTATGTCATATTAGAAAGGCTATTTATATGTAAATGACATGTAAACTATATGACTCTATAGATAGGAAGTATGACATATTAAATATTTAATCAAAAAATTACGAAATTAGCAATAGGAATTGATCGGTACATGTTATTTTGATCTAGGTGATGATTGTACTGAGATTGGAAGGAAGGTTTTTGAATTGGAGTTCAGGAATTAAGGTGAACAGTTTACTACTACTTTTGAAAAGATATTCTATATTAAACTTGTGGCTGCTTGTGTGTGGATATTTCACATGTATGATATATATGTTGATACTTGAGGTTGTAATTAAATGTTTTGTAATTGTGAATTGTTATACATGTGAATCTTGAAATTTTATGGGATAATTTTATATCATTGCTTTGGTGAAGAAAATAAAATTTTGTGTGCGTTGGGATTAAAATGACAGTTTTAGTGTGTGTTTAAATTATGTTTTATGAGACAAAGGCTGAGTTACTAGGTCTAAATGATCACTAGATTAAAAGTATACCAGTGTGATCGGTATAGAGATGTGCACATAGGGGCCAGTCATTAGGCTAGTGATGACAAGAGATAGGGCCAGTTACCAGGTTAGTGATAACAAACATGATATGACAAATGTATTTGAGAGTAAATGTGTGCGCGAGTGTTTTGAGTTATAAATATTTTTTCATTTATAAAATTATTTGTGAAAATGAGTAGATGCTTTGAGTTATAAATGTCTTTTCATTTTAGAAAGTTATTTGTGATCATAAGATCATCTTTTTTAAATGATTACGTGAGAGGGATAGGGGGTAAAATTTCTTGTAATTATGTATGTATTAAAGTTTTTTTTTGTATATAAAATGTGAGACTTATTTTCACTCTTCATTAGAGTTGATTGCTATTCATGAGTCAATGTGCTCATACAAACATTTAACATTTTTCAGGTGAGAATCAGGATGATAAGTAAGTCTGTAGTTAAATAAGGGTTTAATGGATTTGAAAATTTATTTTAGTGTTGATTTTTAAGGTTAAGTGTCATTTATGATCTTTAGACAAATATTTAATTATTTTGGGGACAATGTTGTTTATGTTTGGAATAGTGAATCTTATGGTTTGATTATTGTTTTATATGAGTTTAGTAATGATGTTGGTGATGTTTAGTTTATTCATTTGATATTTATTAAGTCGGTGGATTAGATCACTTTATTATTTGTCTTTCGTTGTATTTTGTATTTATTATGCACATGATTGGTTGGTTAAGACTTTGGTGGACGGTCTTCTACCCATCTTACGTGATCTGGTGTGGGGATGTGACATTTGCCATCCTCGGCTGGAGCTCGCGGCCTTAGTTAGAAAATGTCTATGAAGGAGTGGGAGGGAGATAGTTGACAAATTTAAATGGTTTGGTGTTTGGTTCTTGGGATGAAATTATTTAATGGTTGGATTTTGTTGTTCAAGTTTTATTTTGATTGGATTATGACTAGCGACGATAAATCAATCTTTTATAACTTACGTTAATTTCTTCTATGGAATGTTTACTCACATGGGGTGTCGTTGTTGTTTCATATACTTGAAGGGGTGTATTTCTTTTAATGATAAATTTTAGGCGGTTTAAATATAATTTATTTTAATTTTTTATATTTGAGAAATAATTAAGAGTGTAAAAGTTAACTTATAAGCACTCTGACTAATTCCTCGGGTCAAAAGAGGCTGCGTGGACTACTTGTTGAACTACCCTTCAACTCTCCATGTGCCATCTGCGTGGACTAAACTGTTGAGCAACCCTTGAACTCTCCATGCGTTTCTCGTGCATTTTATATACAGACCCTTCAATTCTCCATGTGTTTCTGGTGTACTTTATATACAGTATTCTTAAATATAATGTAACAGGATCGACAAAAAAATCCAAAAATAACTTTCTTTTTATTTTTTTATTAATTTTAAATTATTGTCTAAATATATTTTTTGTTCTATAATATTTTTCAAATCATTTATCTAAACAAACTTTTTTATCTCAAAAAATATCAAAACACACGTCCATAAAACTCTTATTAACAATTATTTTTGAATACTTTGTTTTTTTATACGCAAACCAAACCAAACATGTACCAAAATTTTCATGAACAAAAGAAAAACTCCAAAATTTCCATCCTCTCAGCCTAAAAAATCTTTTTCTTTTTGAGCGGAACCCGACTTATAAAATCACTACTGCCCGTCAGAGATCTTCTTTTTCCGTCTCTCTCTTTCTCTATTCAGAGCACACTATAACTCAATTTCAGTATCAATGGCGGCCTCTTCAAGTGCCCTAACTGCACAATTTCACAATTGCCACCGACTTGTTGACCATAAGAAACCGTCCCCCATTTCAATCTCATCCTGTAGGCTCTCTCTCTGATAACCTATCTCTTTCACTTCATTTTCTCGTAGCTTTCTGCATAGTTGAAATATGCGTATTCATTGATGTATAATGTCTATCCGCACATGCATTCACATATTTCTTTCTACACAGCTACTCTAAATTTGTATGTTTTATCCATGATCTCAGTTTTGTCGCTCAGTAAGTTTGTTTTTTTGGTATATTTTATTCGTGTGGGATAGATTTCAGTCATAGATATGTTTCAGCTGTTGTTGGTTTTTGATGTTCATTCATAATATGCATGCGGCATAGAAGTTCACTGATAATTTCAGTGACAACGATTATTTTGGATGTAATTCTAAAATAAGAATTGGAATTATAATTTTGGGTTTTCGTTTATAGAGACTAGTAACTATCCTATGCTGCTAAGATGATTCAAGAGTGATGGAACTTGCACCATAAGAAAAGCTGCTTCTTTTTCATGCGTGTTTTAAGGATTTGGTGAGGTTTTAAGTTGCCAGGGGCCTTTAAATTCATAACAAAGGAAGCATTGGTTACACGCGTCTTTCCAGCTTGACTTGTTAACTAATCAAGTCATTCTTCTTATACAATCTGTTATGGTACATCCTCAAACCTCATTTATGTACACATATTTTTGCTAGACACACCAAAGTCAGGGCTAACATGGGGATCAACTCAGTCAAATGACTCGAACCATTGCCAATTCTAGCTGAATAATACTCTAAATTTCACATACTTCACAAGGGGCATCACATTGTTTTTTCAAGTTTATATCTCTATGTTTTAGTCACTGTGATGAAGTTTGTGCTGGTTAGCAAAGGAACCAATTATTATAATATTTAAGTGAAAACAGAATACGCAGAGATCACTGCTAGTTGGGGGTTGTTTTGTACTGCTAAAGTGCGCTTCTCTTTATGCATCTATAAGTGAACATCCTAATGATTATATTATTTGTTTTTTCTCTTGTTCAATGTCAAATTGTAATTGGAGATATTTCCATGTACCTATTCTTAGTTTAAAAAAATCTCCCTTATGGGCTGACTGCTTTGATGGTTGTTCGTTTATTTTTCATGCTTTCGTGGGAAGATGTTAAGAGAATTTGGTCGTGGTTGGGTCATAGAGAGGAATATAGGCACAATTAGATTCTTCTACCATTGGTGGATGTGCAAGTGATATCTCATCAAAGCTTTGAGAATATACCTGAAGGCTGAATGTATCAGTCATCTAGGGTCTTTGACCTTTAACCTTTGCATGGAGTGAATCTCAACAGACTTCTTGATTCATCTAGAGGTTAATATTCTCAAGGAGTTGAGATCCTCCTCAGCTTTGATTTGATCTGACTTTATTTTTTCAAATTTCTTCCTTTTTTACATTCCTGTGATGCTCTTTTTGTTAGTATTTTTTAGATATATTTGCTTGTAGACCTTGCTGTTTGGATGAGATATGAGTTACCTTCCTCTGTATTGGCTTTAGGTAAATTAAACCCCTATGCAAATCCGGTTGGTCCTCCAATTTTGTCATGGCAGAGTAGGAAGTTTGGAAAGACTCGAAGATCTCTCCATGTACATGGTTTATTTGGTGGGAAGGAGGAAAACAATGATAAGAGTGATGATGCCTCCTCAAAGGTCGAGTGTATTCTCTCTTTGAATTGAGATTTGTATTTAGAGTTATATTTTGATATGACCTCACGATATTGATGCTGAATCTGTAAAATTCTCCATAATAGAACACCTAGGAGAAAGTTTTGCTTTCTTGGCAGTTGGCAGTGATACTATTTGTTATGTTAATTGCATGAAAGTTATACTGTCTAGTTTGTGTAAAACATAAAATTTATGTATTCTCTGCAAAAATTACTTTTGTGCTGATAATACGGGTAGATGACAGGACATGTTTAAGGGCATGATTATAGTGATCCGATGCATAATTTTCGCAGGCCTAACTTTGAATGAGATAGTAAAATAAAAAATTGGTAGTTTGCGGTTTAGAGTACAATGCCGGAATATGATTTATGTAAGCGACCCCAAATAATTGGGGCGATAGCTTGAACTGAGTTGAGTTAGGTGTTTAAGTCTTAGGGGGTTGAATCATTTTGGGAAGTTCTTCTTGCATAAAAGTACATTGATGAAAACATTAACAAAAAAAGCGGCAAAATAACTTTGGTTTTCTAAGGAATAATTCTATATCTTCTCAGATAGTGGAATATGTTGAAATTTCTTTTACACTGCAGTTTCTTATCCATTTGTAATGCTCATGTTATTTTTCTCCAAAAGTTTGCCAGGGTGTTCTAGATCCTGTTTGAGTTGAGACTAATTCCACAATATTAATTTTAACTGAAAATGTGTTTCATGGAGGATGGCGAGCGTCTTATTGTATGCCATTCTGGTGTCCCATGGGCTTATCCTCTCTGGCGGGGATGGCTAACTTGGTTGAATGAGGAAACTTTTTGTCACTTTTAGTTTTATGTAATTCCATATCCTTAAAGGTTGATTTTTATTCCAATCAGGGGATTGGGCCTTCTGCATTGCTAGTAAGACACTGGCTATACGATTTTTGGATCTGTTGTGGTCATTTAGCAAACCAATTCTTTTCCTAGCTTGGTTGTCATACAGTTTTAGGGTCTCTCTCTCCCNTATTAAGTCGGTGGATTAGATCACTTTATTATTTGTCTTTCGTTGTATTTTGTATTTATTATGCACATGATTGGTTGGTTAAGACTTTGGTGGACGGTCTTCTACCCATCTTACGTGATCTGGTGTGGGGATGTGACATTTGCCATCCTCGGCTGGAGCTCGCGGCCTTAGTTAGAAAATGTCTATGAAGGAGTGGGAGGGAGATAGTTGACAAATTTAAATGGTTTGGTGTTTGGTTCTTGGGATGAAATTATTTAATGGTTGGATTTTGTTGTTCAAGTTTTATTTTGATTGGATTATGACTAGCGACGATAAANGATTATTTGGAAGCTTTATGGACCTTTTTTATCTGTCGCTATTGTTCAACTGGAGGTATATTATTCTTCCTTATTTTGTCCTTCTATTTATCTTTGAATATTTTCTGTCATGAGTGCTTACGTATTGTTGTTGGTATGACTACTACTAAGGGACATGAGACTCCTACTCTTAGTACTTTCACCTGGGAAAGGGGTTGTTGGGTTTGGGTTATTATGCTGGGAAGGTGGTTTTGCTACATGTGAGGGATATTGGGCTGTCATATGGGATTTGGGGACGTGGGTTGGCTAGCTTGTGGNGGCTGCGTGGACTACTTGTTGAACTACCCTTCAACTCTCCATGTGCCATCTGCGTGGACTAAACTGTTGAGCAACCCTTGAACTCTCCATGCGTTTCTCGTGCATTTTATATACAGACCCTTCAATTCTCCATGTGTTTCTGGTGTACTTTATATACAGTATTCTTAAATATAATGTAACAGGATCGACAAAAAAATCCAAAAATAACTTTCTTTTTATTTTTTTATTAATTTTAAATTATTGTCTAAATATATTTTTTGTTCTATAATATTTTTCAAATCATTTATCTAAACAAACTTTTTTATCTCAAAAAATATCAAAACACACGTCCATAAAACTCTTATTAACAATTATTTTTGAATACTTTGTTTTTTTATACGCAAACCAAACCAAACATGTACCAAAATTTTCATGAACAAAAGAAAAACTCCAAAATTTCCATCCTCTCAGCCTAAAAAATCTTTTTCTTTTTGAGCGGAACCCGACTTATAAAATCACTACTGCCCGTCAGAGATCTTCTTTTTCCGTCTCTCTCTTTCTCTATTCAGAGCACACTATAACTCAATTTCAGTATCAATGGCGGCCTCTTCAAGTGCCCTAACTGCACAATTTCACAATTGCCACCGACTTGTTGACCATAAGAAACCGTCCCCCATTTCAATCTCATCCTGTAGGCTCTCTCTCTGATAACCTATCTCTTTCACTTCATTTTCTCGTAGCTTTCTGCATAGTTGAAATATGCGTATTCATTGATGTATAATGTCTATCCGCACATGCATTCACATATTTCTTTCTACACAGCTACTCTAAATTTGTATGTTTTATCCATGATCTCAGTTTTGTCGCTCAGTAAGTTTGTTTTTTTGGTATATTTTATTCGTGTGGGATAGATTTCAGTCATAGATATGTTTCAGCTGTTGTTGGTTTTTGATGTTCATTCATAATATGCATGCGGCATAGAAGTTCACTGATAATTTCAGTGACAACGATTATTTTGGATGTAATTCTAAAATAAGAATTGGAATTATAATTTTGGGTTTTCGTTTATAGAGACTAGTAACTATCCTATGCTGCTAAGATGATTCAAGAGTGATGGAACTTGCACCATAAGAAAAGCTGCTTCTTTTTCATGCGTGTTTTAAGGATTTGGTGAGGTTTTAAGTTGCCAGGGGCCTTTAAATTCATAACAAAGGAAGCATTGGTTACACGCGTCTTTCCAGCTTGACTTGTTAACTAATCAAGTCATTCTTCTTATACAATCTGTTATGGTACATCCTCAAACCTCATTTATGTACACATATTTTTGCTAGACACACCAAAGTCAGGGCTAACATGGGGATCAACTCAGTCAAATGACTCGAACCATTGCCAATTCTAGCTGAATAATACTCTAAATTTCACATACTTCACAAGGGGCATCACATTGTTTTTTCAAGTTTATATCTCTATGTTTTAGTCACTGTGATGAAGTTTGTGCTGGTTAGCAAAGGAACCAATTATTATAATATTTAAGTGAAAACAGAATACGCAGAGATCACTGCTAGTTGGGGGTTGTTTTGTACTGCTAAAGTGCGCTTCTCTTTATGCATCTATAAGTGAACATCCTAATGATTATATTATTTGTTTTTTCTCTTGTTCAATGTCAAATTGTAATTGGAGATATTTCCATGTACCTATTCTTAGTTTAAAAAAATCTCCCTTATGGGCTGACTGCTTTGATGGTTGTTCGTTTATTTTTCATGCTTTCGTGGGAAGATGTTAAGAGAATTTGGTCGTGGTTGGGTCATAGAGAGGAATATAGGCACAATTAGATTCTTCTACCATTGGTGGATGTGCAAGTGATATCTCATCAAAGCTTTGAGAATATACCTGAAGGCTGAATGTATCAGTCATCTAGGGTCTTTGACCTTTAACCTTTGCATGGAGTGAATCTCAACAGACTTCTTGATTCATCTAGAGGTTAATATTCTCAAGGAGTTGAGATCCTCCTCAGCTTTGATTTGATCTGACTTTATGTTTTCAAATTTCTTCCTTTTTTACATTCCTGTGATGCTCTTTTTGTTAGTATTTTTTAGATATATTTGCTTGTAGACCTTGCTGTTTGGATGAGATATGAGTTACCTTCCTCTGTATTGGCTTTAGGTAAATTAAACCCCTATGCAAATCCGGTTGGTCCTCCAATTTTGTCATGGCAGAGTAGGAAGTTTGCAAAGACTCGAAGATCTCTCCATGTACATGGTTTATTTGGTGGGAAGGAGGAAAACAATGATAAGAGTGATGATGCCTCCTCAAAGGTCGAGTGTATTCTCTCTTTGAATTGAGATTTGTATTTAGAGTTATATTTTGATATGAACTCACGATATTGATGCTGAATCTGTAAAATTCTCCATAATAGAACACCTAGGAGAAAGTTTTGCTTTCTTGGCAGTTGGCAGTGATACTATTTGTTATGTTAATTGCATGAAAGTTATACTGTCTAGTTTGTGTAAAACATAAAATTTATGTATTCTCTGCAAAAATTACTTTTGTGCTGATAATACGGGTAGATGACAGGACATGTTTAAGGGCATGATTATAGTGATCCGATGCATAATTTTCGCAGGCCTAACTTTGAATGAGATAGTAAAATAAAAAATTGGTAGTTTGCGGTTTAGAGTACAATGCCGGAATATGATTTATGTAAGCGACCCCAAATAATTGGGGCGATAGCTTGAACTGAGTTGAGTTAGGTGTTTAAGTCTTAGGGGGTTGAATCATTTTGGGAAGTTCTTCTTGCATAAAAGTACATTGATGAAAACATTAACAAAAAAAGCGGCAAAATAACTTTGGTTTTCTAAGGAATAATTCTATATCTTCTCAGATAGTGGAATATGTTGAAATTTCTTTTACACTGCAGTTTCTTATCCATTTGTAATGCTCATGTTATTTTTCTCCAAAAGTTTGCCAGGGTGTTCTAGATCCTGTTTGAGTTGAGACTAATTCCACAATATTAATTTTAACTGAAAATGTGTTTCATGGAGGATGGCGAGCGTCTTATTGTATGCCATTCTGGTGTCCCATGGGCTTATCCTCTCTGGCGGGGATGGCTAACTTGGTTGAAAGAGGAAACTTTTTGTCACTTTTAGTTTTATGTAATTCCATATCCTTAAAGGTTGATTTTTATTCCAATCAGGGGATTGGGCCTTCTGCATTGCTAGTAAGACACTGGCTATACGATTTTTGGATCTGTTGTGGTCATTTAGCAAACCAATTCTTTTCCTAGCTTGGTTGTCATACAGTTTTAGGGTCTCTCTCTCCCCTTCTCACCTTCCTTCCGCCCCCCCCCTCCCCCCAAGGGGGTTCAAAACTTATTCCACTCATATGGTCATGATAATGATCCGTGTAAAAAACCAAATTATATGGGTTTTGGTCTTTTGTTTCCCTTTATTTATGCTTTCAGTCAACCTGAACATCATAGTCACCATGTATTTGTGTTTGGGTTAAGCCCACCTCTGATATCTTGATGGTGAAATTACTAATGTGTATGGATGGACATGTGTCTTCTCTCGATATTCGTGATAGTACTCGTCCTCTGTTGGATGTTTTCTTTTGCGCCATGAATTATCCATTAAAAAGAAAACAAATTCTGCTGGAAATTTCTATGCTGTTGCATTATTCTTGACTTGTATGTGTTAATCTGTTTCTATTTATATTTAAAAGTCGAATTGTCATATTTATGTGTTGATAGTGATATTACTGTCATAACTCATGGCTACGGAAATACAGGCTGGAGTATTTGGGAACATGCCAAATCTGTATGAAACAGTAAAGAAGGCTCAGATGGTTGTCCATGTTGAGGCAGTACGTGTTCAGAAGGAACTTGATGCGTATGTGTTACTGCTCAGATACATCATTATCTTTATTTTTGTTGAACAGTGTGTAGATATGTTCCTTTTGTCATTGTATGTTTATCTTTTGCAAATTTTTTTTATATGCAGAGCAGAGTTTGATGGTTACTGTGAAAGTGAGCTAATAAAGGTATGAATTTCTTGTGTTTTTTGTTTGTAATTTTTGTGGTTCATAGTGCATAATTAGTAGAGAAACATGTATGAATCAAAGGGATCCTCAAACTTAGAGTAGAGCCCCGTATACATAGCCAAACAATAGTATAAAGTGACCTAAACATCCTTCTGGTTTAGACAAAATATAAAAGTCATAGTAAAGGTAAAAAAGGGAAAATAGACCCTAATAAACTAGACTATAACTCTAACACTCCCCCTCAAGCTAGATACAAAAATATCAACTAAACTAAGTTTGACAACGGAGTTCTGGGGAATGAATAGAGTGACAGGTTTGGTGAAAACATCCGCGACTTGATCACTAATTCTCACAAACAATGAAGTGGCAATACCACAGCTGACCTTCTCTTGAAGAAAGTGAACATCGATCTCTATATGCTTTGTCATCTCGTGTATTACAGAGTCAGAAGCAAGCTGAATAGCAAATCAATTATAACAATGTAAATGTGGATGAAGAAGTCACTAGAAATCCCAACTCCCCAAGAAGCGGGAGACAACTATTTGTTTCTTGCTCTTCTAAGAGATAAGATGAGTCCCTTGAAAAGTACATAAATCCGTAGTAGATCGACTGTCACACGCTCTCTCATAATTTGAATCTGAATCTGAATAACAGACTAGAGAACTACTCTGAGATTCTGATTCATAGAACAACTCAAGTCCAGGACAAGACTTGAGCTACCGAAAAATATAATAAATTGTATCAAGATGAGGCTAACACGGCCGGTGCATGAATTGACTAACTTGGCTAACAGCGAATGAAATGTCTGGCCTAGTGTTGGTTAGGTAGATAACTCTACCTACTAACCTCTGATAGACAATCGGATTTTTCAACTCCTCATCTTTAGCAGTGAGTTTCAGGTTTAGAATCATAGATAATGATGCCGGTTTGCACCCTAGCACCCCAATGTTCAAGAGAAGATCTAGAACATACTTTCTCTGAGAAAGAACAATACCCTTGCTACTACGGACAACCTCAATCCAAAAAAAGTATTGCAGAAATCTAAGTTCCTTCACATTGAAGGTCTTCCTAAGGTCTACCTTGACCTATGCAGTCCCAAAAATATTTTTCCTAGTAATAATAATATTATCCACATATACCAAAAAGATTACACATTGCCCATAAGTATTTTGTCGAATGAAGCATGTATGATCAGAATGACATCTGGTGAACCCTAAACGCAACTCCACCGACAACCTAGGTTCCCAACCATAACCCAGCGACAAACCCAACAAACCCAACCTCAATCCTAGCCTCCTAAACCAACCTCCGGCCCTACTGCCCCGCGACACCTAGCATAACTAACCAACCCAACCAACCCAGCAACCCCCACTCCCCCGACAGCAGGCAACGTGCCACTGCCCAACCAACCTAGCAACCCAATAAATCAACAACCCACTCCACCGACAACAATCCACTGTCCAGTAGCGAACCAACCCAACAACAAACTCAACCTAGCTGTCTTGCCTTCGTGCTTCGTGCTCTTTGTCGTAGTGTCGTCATCTCTGTGTGCCACTGTCCTCTTTTTCCTAAGGTTGCAGCATCTAGGACTTTTTAAGAGGGGTTGAATCCTCTTTTTTGTTGATTTGTTCTTGATGCAGTAGATCACTTATATATTTATTAGATTTTTGGACACCGTGACATGATTATTTGGAAGCTTTATGGACCTTTTTTATCTGTCGCTATTGTTCAACTGGAGGTATATTATTCTTCCTTATTTTGTCCTTCTATTTATCTTTGAATATTTTCTGTCATGAGTGCTTACGTATTGTTGTTGGTATGACTACTACTAAGGGACATGAGACTCCTACTCTTAGTACTTTCACCTGGGAAGGGGGTTGTTGGGTTTGGGTTATTATGCTGGGAAGGTGGTTTTGCTACAGGTGAGGGATATTGGGCTGTCATATGGGATTTGGGGACGTGGGTTGGCTAGCTTGTGGTGGTTTTGGGGACTTGGGTTTCACTGGTTACACTCTTCTATTGGTGGTTTCGTTGGTTTGAGTTGATTTTGCTGACTTGTGAAATTGAGTTACTGGTTTAGGTTTCGCTGGGTAGGATGGAGGTGAAAGAAATTATATAAAGAACGTAGTGGAATTTAAAAAAATTTGATTCCCATTCCAAAATCTATTCATGTTTAATACAAATTGAGAAACTTCATATCTATACTGAAGATTAAGGGTTTCCTCTTGAAGCGGCCTTTGAACAATCTTCAAACTTTCTCAAACAACTTTGAATTTTCAAATCTAAATTTGATTTTTACCCAAACCCTCGCATTTATTTTGCCTCCATCAGTATCCACACGAATTGATAAACTAGAAGGATCTACCTCAACCTTTGACAAACTAGTAGAGAGAGAGACAATGAGGGTTGATTCTTCTTGTGCTAGCAAGAGAGTTGTTATATCATTTATCCACCTCTTACATAAAGGTATTTATAGAGTTTTAAAGACTCTAATCCTAGTTTGGGTCAAATTGCAATTATCTTATAATTACATATAATCCCTTTATTAACCATTAATTATAATAAAGTACCCAATTAACTCTTAATTAGGTTTTCACCTCAATTAACTCTTAATTGATTTTTTCTCATTTATCATTTAGTTTTTAATCAATTTTATTGTGTGTGACCCTGTAGGTTCAAGCGTACCCGGTTGTAGGCATTCTATACTAATTACAAGTAGCATCTCAAATTTGAACTCTTTCTAATTTAGCTTAAATTAGAACTATTCTAATTTTCTCTTTATGAAAAATAATTAATATATTTATATTAATTTCATTCTTTAAACTTCTACTAATCATGAGTGACACCTAGCACNTAACACTCCCCCTCAAGCTAGATACAAAAATATCAACTAAACTAAGTTTGACAACGGAGTTCTGGGGAATGAATAGAGTGACAGGTTTGGTGAAAACATCCGCGACTTGATCACTAATTCTCACAAACAATGAAGTGGCAANCAACACTCCCCCTCAAGCTAGATACAAAAATATCAACTAAACTAAGTTTGACAACGGAGTTCTGGGGAATGAATAGAGTGACAAGTTTGGTGAAAACATCCGCGACTTGATCACTAATTCTCACAAACAATGAAGTGGCAATACCACAGCTGACCTTCTCTTGAAGAAAGTGAACATCGATCTCTATATGCTTTGTCATCTCGTGTATTACAGAGTCAGAAGCAAGCTGAATAGCAAATCAATTATAANTTTCATCAATGTTTTAGAAAAATAATTTTTAAATCTTTTTTTCATTATGTTTCTGAAATGGGTTGAAACATTTCCGAAACACGTCAAAACTTTTCCGTTTCTTATGTGACCGAAACAATATACCGAANAATACCACAGCTGACCTTCTCTTGAAGAAAGTGAACATCGATCTCTATATGCTTTGTCATCTCGTGTATTACAGAGTCAGAAGCAAGCTGAATAGCAAATCAATTATAACAATGTAAATGTGGATGAAGAAGTCACTAGAAATCCCAACTCCCCAAGAAGCGGGAGACAACTATTTGTTTCTTGCTCTTCTAAGAGATAAGATGAGTCCCTTGAAAAGTACATAAATCCGTAGTAGATCGACTGTCACACGCTCTCTCATAATTTGAATCNACCAAGAAGCGGAAGACAACTGTCTGTTTCTTGCTCTTCTAAGAGATAAGATGAGTCCCTTGAAAAGTACAAAAACCCGTAGTAGATCGACTGTCACACGCTCTCTCATAATTTGAATCTGAATCTGAATAACAGACTAGAGAACTACTCTGAGATTCTGATTCATAGAACAACTCAAGTCCAGGNCCCAAGAAGCGGGAGACAACTATTTGTTTCTTGCTCTTCTAAGAGATAAGATGAGTCCCTTGAAAAGTACATAAATCCGTAGTAGATCGACTGTCACACGCTCTCTCATAATTTGAATCTGAATCTGAATAACAGACTAGAGAACTACTCTGAGATTCTGATTCATAGAACAACTCAAGTCCAGGACAAGACTTGAGCTACCGAAAAATATAATAAATTGTATCAAGATGAGGCTAACACGGCCGGTGCATGAATTGACTAACTTGGCTAACAGAGAATGAAATGTCTGGCCTAGTGTTGGTTAGGTAGATAACTCTACCTACTAACCTCTGATAGACAATCGGATTTTTCAACTCCTCATCTTTAGCAGTGAGTTTCAGGTTTAGAATCATAGATAATGATGCCGGTTTGCACCCTAGCACCCCAATGTTCAAGAGAAGATCTAGAACATACTTTCTCTGAGAAAGAACAATACCCTTGCTACTACGGACAACCTCAATCCAAAAAAAGTATTGCAGAAATCTAAGTTCCTTCACATTGAAGGTCTTCCTAAGGTCTACCTTGACCTATGCAGTCCCAAAAATATTTTTCCTAGTAATAATAATATTATCCACATATACCAAAAAGATTACACATTGCCCATAAGTATTTTGTCGAATGAAGCATGTATGATCAGAATGACATCTGGTGAACCCTAAACGCAACTCCACCGACAACCTAGGTTCCCAACCATAACCCAGCGACAAACCCAACAAACCCAACCTCAATCCTAGCCTCCTAAACCAACCTCCGGCCCTACTGCCCCGCGACACCTAGCATAACTAACCAACCCAACCAACCCAGCAACCCCCACTCCCCCGACAGCAGGCAACGTGCCACTGCCCAACCAACCTAGCAACCCAATAAATCAACAACCCACTCCACCGACAACAATCCACTGTCCAGTAGCGAACCAACCCAACAGCAAACTCAACCTAGCTGTCTTGCCTTCGTGCTTCGTGCTCTTTGTCGTAGTGTCGTCATCTCTGTGTGCCACTGTCCTCTTTTTCCTAAGGTTGCAGCATCTAGGACTTTTTAAGAGGGGTTGAATCCTCTTTTTTGTTGATTTGTTCTTGATGCAGTAGATCACTTATATATTTATTAGATTTTTGGACACCGTGACATAATTATTTGGAA